CCGTAGGCGAAATCGACTGAAGAGGGCAGAATGGGATCGCTTCGGCGTAGAAGATTGCAATTGCAAAAGCCTTTTTTTTCTCTCTCTCTGTTTCTTGTCTTACTTTTCTTTTCTGCGTGACTGGATCAGTGTTCGATGCCTAGTAAAGGGAATCTTGTGGAGTGGCATGTGAGTGGAGGATAGGATGATTGGTTACGGGTAGAGTGTTATTGCTGATCGGAAATTAAGATTTCCTTTTATCGAGGAAAGAGGGAGGAGCTTGGAAGGGGAAAATAAGGCGCGAAGAGCGGGGAAAAGGCGCGAAATGTAAGAGTGGTGAGGAACACGAAATGGGATCACTGGAGAGAAAACATTCGGGGATTGGCTGTAAGTGGGGGAGGTTTTGAATCCAAACAGTATCGTGTTGTTCTTGAGAAGAGAATTTTGGTCAGAAGAGGCTTTTGACTGTTCGTTACTGATGTCGAGTCAACAATGGAAAAATATGTTACATAGTGGGTGTATCTCACAGGAAATTAGTGATCACGTATACAACGCAAATGAAATTACACACTCGCCTATACCCATCAGTTTTTCTTTGCAACCGGAACTATGAAACTAACATGAAACAGATTCCTGTATGTAACCATATCATGGTCTATTTTGTGCGAGGAGTTTCAAGGCTTAAAGCCAGAGTCCACCATTTGCAGCTATCCAAAAAAGTAACTGGCGTAATTATTGTTGAAAAACATACTGGTTGAAAGATAGTAAGGGGACTAAACTCCCTGTGAAGTTATTCTTTCTGGCAAGCTGTCATTTTGAAGAAATCAACGAAAGAAGGCAGTCTTAATTAAGAAGCACTGTTGGAAATTTCCATTAGTAGTTCGGGTTTTTTTTCAATAGGCGAAGTGCGCGCAAGCGTTGGCACGACGCACACGCGCGCGCGGTTGCTATAATTCGCCGGATTGGTGCGCGACATCGCGTAGCTGCAATCAGCTCAGCGAGAACGTGTCTCGGGTGCTGAATTCAGGCCCAATTCAAAACATGATTCAGCAACTTTTGATGTGAAATCGAGATCCTAGAATGTTGTTTTTCTCGAATACAGCTGAAGCTGAGCTGAAACGTCATCAGGTTAGTTGTTCAGCACCCTTCTTTAGAATTGGAGCACTATTGTTGATTCAAACGAACAAAATGCACAAATTACAAATGATGGACTATACCTTTAAATTGGAACATTTTCTGAAACTGACAGGAATCTTTATTTATAGTATCGATTCTTGTAATTGTTAGAAAGAGCATCCAGTTGCCATGTACGGAACGTTGTTAGCACCAACACGGGGATCGATAACTATCAATCGATTAGCATTAATCGAAAACACTTAATCTCCCATTCAGTTTGTTTGATCAGACTCTGGTATCGATTCTAACGTGTGATATATTGTTATGACATGTTCGAAAGCTCCTATGGTTCTTCGAGTAGTGGAAGCTTTTTGATGCTGTATTGTCAAAAGAAATCAATACTTATGTAGTTTTGTTCAAACCAGCTTCATCTGTAGAACAGTTGTTTGAATGATGCGCTTGTTGGATTTGCTCGTTGCACAAGACTGCTATGTTATCATCAAAACGTGGCTACGATTGAAAAAAAAACCTAAATACTCATACGGCGTCCTTACAATGCAAGTTGCAAAGGTTTTACATAAGAAACAGTGACGAAGACCTTTAAGACTCGAGACTATTTTTTTGTGGACTCGTGACTCGGCTCGGACTCGTAGCCTTAGTTGACTCGGCTTGGCTCGGACTCGTTTTTTTAAAACAGTCCCGAGTCTGTTGACTTTTAACTCTTGCCCTGGACAAGGGGGCCTCCACTCTAAAAACAACTTAGTCAAAATATTGACTGGTTTTCTTAGTTATTGAAAATTGACTAGGAATTTAGTTAAACATGCAAAGTTTCATACTATGACTAGAAAAAGTTGTTGGGTTCGACTCCAAATTCAGTTATTGGCATAACTATTTTTCCCAAGTCAATAATACTGACTGGAAAAATCTAGTCAGATTGACTGATTTTCAGTTGAACCCAGCTGACCCTGAATGGCTCGTCAAATTTAACTGGTTTCTAGTCAAATCTGACTAATGCTTTTTTAGAGTGTCGTAGCCGAAGAGGGGCCTCGTAGCCGAGCGGTTAGAGCGTGAAGCTACGGAGTGGAAGGTTGGCGGTTCGAATCCCATTCGGACCAAAAACTGGAAAACACTCTCTGACGACCCAGCAGTAAAATGGGTACCTGATTCGTTCAGGGAAGGTAAGACGGCGAGAGGAGAGGACTGGGCACCGCCACTCATATGCCGCGCCCAAGATACAGTGGACCTCTAACATCCCACTGCCCCTACGGCCAGTAATGGCTATGGGATCTTTACCTTTACCTTTACCTGGACAATTTCTCTGAAAAAAAAACCTTACTAGGCTCTAGAATAATTGCAAGAGACCAATTCGACAGTTACTGTGTTCTCGGTGGTCTCGTGCGCGCACGTGTTCTGCTATAAAAAAAAAAATTTAAAAAATTGACAATCTGAGCTCGGACTCGAGCCTTCGTGGACTCGGCTCGGCTCGGACTCGGATGAGGTGGACTCGACTACATCACTGATAAGAAGCATACAAGAACCTTAATATGATTATGCGCTGTAGAAAAAGTCAGTCAGCTTTGACTCGAAAACAGTCAAACTTACACCCAGCTGACTGAGCTGAGCGCAAATTTGACCGTTTTCTTGTCAAATTCGTCTAAAGTGCTGTCAGATTGTTGCAAGTGCACTTTCGGCAGGTGTTGGCTCAAGAATGTTGCGCACACGCGCCTCGTCCAGCTGGCCCGAGATTTCGTCTCATCAATATTTCACACTGGGCAGCCAGTTAAGGGAAAACATCATTCTTAATTCATGCTTTAACTATCTCTCTATACACGCAGTTGTCAAGGATGTCCTTTTCACGGTGAACTTTCAAAGGGTAGTTTATATTTGACTAAATACACTCGTTTCAAAATCTTCACTGACCGTTAATTCTGGTAAAGCAACCAAGGATTCCCTCAAAAGGGCCTAAAGGCACTGTAGCTCGCAAGCCTGAAGAAGGTCCTGTAGAGAGGAGATAATGAGAAGAAATGACAGTTTTAAAGTTTGGAGGGAAACCCCAGACGAATGTTCTGGGGAAAACCCCATGAAAATCAGGCAGGGACTGAAAACTCAAACCAAATGTGGCCCAGGGCAGGAACCGAACCCGGGTCATGTAGCGGTGGAAGGAGAGGAAAGAACCACTCACTGCGCCAACCTGACTCCCAACGTTGAAATCATGAATATTTTACGTAATGCAAATGAATGGAAAAAAGCTCACCTCGCAAATGCTACTGTATTAGCTTAAATGAAATAAAAACGTTACAAACTAGATTGGTTGAAATCATTCAAATCGTTAATACATGTAGTGAGGGCCCTGACGTTTTGATCGGAGCAGAATCTTTCTTTTTAATAGGCTTAATGGCATGCTTTGCGAACATAAACAAAAAACCAGAAGATGCACAAACACAGATGGAAAAGAAAAAGACAAAAAGATCAAACAACAACAGCAAAAGAAATTGCGCTTTAAACTTTGCTGCGATCATTGTTAGAATGACAAACCGCGATATTCAATTGATAGAGTTATGTGTATGCAACCAGTTGTTTCAATTTACGACAATGGCCTTTAATAGGTTAGTGTGAAAGGGAGATTGTAATGGCAAGCTTCTGTTACTTGCTAAGCAGAAAATCGTTGGCGTTGTTATAAGTTGCCAAGCTACTACTTAGGAACATTCTCAAGTGACAAAAAAATACAGGCTCTATGTTTTCACCGAATCCTGCAAAGGGGTCATAATCTCAAGGGAGCCAAGACGATGTTTGGAATATCACAGTGATGAAGGTTTAAGACATTCGGGATCATTTGCTTTGCATGCATTCTGTACCTTTCCAATAAAACACAACTCACAATGCACAACAGAATGTTTAAAACATGTTGAAGTTTCAGCTCAGTGGATATTAAACTTTTCGAGAAAACAGTGCAAAACCATGCACAACTTTTTGATCACGAAACACGATTTCGTCATCAGCACTCTAAGTTTCCAACAAATCAGTCAATTGATTGATCGTTGGAAGTCACCTACATTTTTAGATTTCTTCTAAAGGACAGCAAGCAAGAAGGACTAACTTAACGAGTTGTTTAGTACCAGTACGACCTTCAATCCAAGCAAGCTTTTGAGGAACAATTCGGGAGGTTACTTTTGAGATACATGCAATTAATCCTACATATGCTTTTAAGTCCATCACAATGTCAATCACAAGGGAAGTCAAATGTAACACGTGACGAAGAGTGACAAATGAATGCCTGTGTCGCAGTACACTAGGTATTAAATGCGTGACTTGACTTGGGACTGAATGACACGACTACACTGTAACATCGTTGGGCAAAATGGGTTGATATGTAGACCAATGTTGGTCAACATATTAACAGGTTAAACTCTTGGGCAAATTCTTCCCAATTGGTGGACAATTTTTAGCCAAATCAACCCACAATAAAGTTATTTCAAACTAATGTTGGTAAAATTACATTGCCCAACAGTGTTTTACCCAACATTTTTCACAGTGTACTTATGTCCTGTTTGATGATTTGACAACCTTATACTGCACAATTATTTATTGTTTCTAGTTTTTCTCATCATCGTAAATTTAACGGTTTTTTATCAGTGAAAGATAAATCTATAACACGCTTCTTGTTAGAAATTCCTAACAAGTTTGACCCTTACTACAAGCGCCTGACTGCTTCACTGAAAGGATTTTTTTTTATTTAAACCCTACCAGCATCAGGACACGACTAACCGAATGACAATCGAACAGGCATTCACAATCGCATTATCGATCCGTATTGACCGCCCGATGTCGCTAACAGTTGCGTGGCGATGTACACAAACAACTTAAAGGCAGATTAAACGATTTGACGACCACCGAAATGTCTTTTAACGAGACAAAATGAAAATGGGATAATCGGATCTGTGTCATTCATACAGGTTTAGATGTAGTAAACACAAATGAGCTAGACACTTGGGTATACCGTTAGCCGGTTGTGCACAGAGAACCACGTTTCTATGATTCCGTTGGAGTTTTATGGCCATAATTTCGATTCTAATGTAAAAAATAATGGGTATCAGACGACATCGTGCATGGTTGACATTTCTGAGGATGGTACAGAACGGACTGACTAAAGACTTAAGCGAAAAGTTGACCTGTATTATTTGTGCGACAAGACGAGAGAGGAGATTTTAACCTAGATCTCTAAGGACGGCACACAAGTAAGTGAATTTCCTCAAAGACCGGAAGCCCCACCGCTAAATGTCTCGTTTCCTAACTCACCTCCGAGGCAACTGAAATTCGAAGACCAATCACTGATAATGGACGCAGATTGGAAAAAGACCGAGTAAATAAAAAACACGGGGAGTCCGGTAAGGAAATGGATTGGGTTTAATCGGGTGGTAAAATTGTCGAAAGCTTTCCTTGATGGAATGACTGATGTAGCTTCTAAAGGTCTTGGCAAAGCTATCTGAAGGTGTCTGCTGAAGACAGAGTGATGCATCTGAGGAATCTTACATAGAGGTAGGTGAACCTTTATTTGTTTTCATCTTCTTTGAAATAAGTTTATTGTTAAACCCATCTGGTATATATGAATTTTATTCCTTTATGTTTAAATGTTCATGATTTCAAATTACTTGGCACTTTTTGATGCAAGACAAACTCACGAATAAGCCAGATCGAGGTGTTTCTCTGGCATGTGCCAACTTGCCTTAACTTGCATATTTGTTGGGTAGGAACAAAACACGTCACGCAATCGTAGTCCAATAGACGGCTAGCTTTCAGCATCACGTGGGTTTGACAAAAATTCCAAAATGTTCTCCCTCAATTCTGACTTTCTATTTGGCTTTAGGCCTATTGTATTGGGTTTTTGTTACTGAAAAGCATTTTTTGGTCCGAATCATTCCATTACGAACTATGCGCATACTTAGTCTCAATGAATATAGGCCTTGTACGGAGCAGCCATCTTAGGGGGCATCTTGTGCTATTTTAATTCAGGACCAACGATTGTGCAAATGGTTCACACATGCATATCCCAGCAAACCAAGGGCACTGCCCTCTAAGATGGCTGTTGCATACCGTATATTAATTACTGCTGCATAATTTTCTGACTTTTATTATACAGTGTGAGTAAAAAAAAGCGGAACCCAAACCCCAAAACATATATTTCATATTTTAAAAAAATATGTAGCCCCAAAAATAATAATGACTGAAAAGCCAATTTCATAAGCTACTTTTAGATGAAAAAAATACTGAAATTGGTCAATCCGTTCAAAGAATATCACCATTTAAACGCAACGACCCTAAAACCTTTCTCGTCCAAAAAAGCAATGTATTGTGTGTTTTGACTGTTTGGAACAACAAAGAAAAATGACACGGAATACTTGTTTCAACAACTGTCACCACCTGTAGTGCACAATATCTTTATTAACAACCCCGGTTAGGCCAAAAAAAAGTCTCCGGTTTCTGGTATGGAGCTTGCCCAAAAAGTGGTGCGGCGACGCGGCTTTTTTGACTGCAAATGGTGCCCGACTAAACTTAGTGCAAATATTATGGGAGACCAGAGAGGCTACATAAAGCTTATTCTCGATCATAACCCCATCTAAAAACACGTTAAAATTGTGCAGCAGCAGGATTCCAGTCAAACCAGTGAGTTTGGCAGTTTTGAGACATCATCTTTCATTGAAAAAAAAAATCATTTTGCCGACGCGCATGGCTACGGCGACGCGCGCGCATACCAGAAACCGGAGACTTTTTTTTGGCCTTAGGCAAACAATATAATTTATAAAATCTCCTTTTTTTTAAAGACGGGCCTTCAAAAAGACTTTGCTGAATATTTAAACGTTTAAACTGAGATCTTATCGCTGGTGATGTTTAAAGACAATTGTGACGACGATTCTTGAAATCGCATTTTTTTGGACGAGACAGGTTTTAGGGCCATTGTGTTTAAAATGGTGATATTCTTTGAACGGATAGACCAATTTCAGTATTTTTTTCATCTAAAAGTAGCTTATGAAATTGGCTTTCCAGTCATAATCATGTTTGGTGCTACATATTTTTTTAAACATGAAATATAAGTTTTGGGGTTTGGGTTCCGCTTTTTTTTGACTCACCCTGTATATATTATTATTCTATGTACAGGGTGGTGCAAAAAGAAGGAAACCCACATTTGACATGAAATTTTCACCTGCTTGTTGAGCATATTTCAAAAATTCAATTTAATGGTATTAAAATATTGACTTTTAAACATAAGTGACCAAAAAATGATTGCAAATGCATATTTTGTTTCTGAGATATGGTAGTTAAAACTTGTCATGTGCCAAACCTGTTTGTCCATCGTGGACGGCTTTATTCCACCCGCTTGACTGAGCTCCGGAGCTCGATTTGAAGACAGAATAACACTACACTAGACTTACACGTGGGCAACAGTGATTTAGGTGACTTGGATTCTAATTAGCATAATAACACTATTCTTGCGTTGTTTTTTTTAAGACTTTGTTCACCACGTATGGTTGAAGAGCTTTACTTCACTATATTACATAAATAAACTGTTCAAAATAAGTAGAGTACGTACTACGTAGTTTAAGTTCCTGTCAATAGTGGGTTTCCTTCTTTTTTGCGCCACCTTTTAGATTACATACGCATTCAATATCCTATTTTTTAACAGTTTGTGTCCTCGTCAAATGTGGTACACATCCCAACACGTTCACAGTAAAAACGGGTTTTAGAATTTGATTCAGTTTTATCTCAATCGCGCTGGCAACGATCGTCTTTTTATTTACTATTCGTTTCCTGAGACGCGACACGGAAATGAAGGCCGCTAATTTGTTTTTATATTTCGAGTGTTAAGTAAACACGGCAAAACAAAGCAGCGGGCGCTTCCAGGATTGTGACCCTTGCACTTTATTGTATAAACTTTAGTTCTTTTGTCGATCAGTTCAGCTCTTTTATCGTCGGTGCCTAATTTATCATTGGATTATGAATGACCTACTGCTATTTGTTTTGTCCATGCAGACTTGACGACAATAGAAAAATTATCAACTGAGGAAAAAAAGATACCCCATAGTCGGATGTGCAATTTATTTGGCCATGCAAGAAATAAATGTGGTGACGTGGGCATCAAGGACCAATTATGAGTATTGTGTAAACCTGACGAATAAAGGGAGTCGAAAAGGAAAATCGATTTATATTTAAACTGTTTAAAACCATCAGTGGTTTATAATTCTTCCTACTTAAATTGACTACTACATGTATTGCAATGACGGTTCTAGGAGGTTGGGGGTTAACTCCCCCACCCCTACCCCCACCACCCACCCCTCCTCACCCCCATCCCACCCCATTCCATGCTAAAGTTGCTAAAGTATTCTCAAATTGCCTTAGAATGCAGGAGAAAGCATGGTAGCTTTTCAAACTTTTGAAATTGTAGATTACAAAAAATTGTGCTTGTGCTAAAAAGCACAAAATTCTGACTAAACAAATTAAGAGCATGGATTTGATTGACCCATTTCTGCCAACATATTTTATTGGTATGGCCACATGAAATGTATTGTCTAATGATGGTTTTGTTCCTTTTGACAGGTTGGATGCAAATAAATTGCCAGCATGGTTTTGTGGCGGTCCAGAAGGACCGTATCAGTAATGGAACCGATGGGAGATGCCGAACTCTCTCCACCGTCTTCTGAGGCTTCAGGCCAGGCAAGCCAGGTTGATTCTTACACGGTGCCCCCTGCTTCGCCGGTCGAATCCACGGACCCTATAACCGCCGTTCAGAGAGCCAACTCACCCGAAAGGACCTCAGCGGGCCGGGAGCGCAAGACGCCCTGTGAGTGGGAGCTCAGACGCCCGCAAACTGTCCAACTCTCGGTGAAAAGTAAGACTGTCCAGAATTCCTTTCCTGCCAAACCCAGCCGGGCTAGATTTGTGAAAACTAAAGCTAGAACTGTTACCTCCACAAAGAACAGTCCAGAAGGCTTAAGGCTTAGTATTTCAGGGAATGGATCCAGAGAAGGAGCAAAGTCGCCCCTGAGAGCTTCTGTCGGATCTAATGCAAAGCTGACCTCCAAGGCTGAACTTAAAGATGAAAGCCAGTTTGTTTCGAAATGCAAAGGGGATTTTGGTGAACCAAAACCAGGGGCCTACGAGCCACGATACTGGACTTGGAGCGGAAAAACGAAGGATAAGACCCCGGATCTGAATCTCAGCGAGGCGGCTGGGGATCACCTGCGGGAGAGACACCGCGGAAATCCACGGCGAGCGCGACGTGGCTCCGTGGCGCTCCCCGTCAACCGTCCACCAACTTACGGGAATCACCCGAATCTACGCGAGGCGCGGCCCAAGAGCGGCTTACCGGCCTACCGACGCGTCCATTACCAACTTCCAGGTGACTGCGGGGCACCTCGATCCCAATCTGGATGTGGTAGCGGTCGGACTACCGAGAGACCACGAGGTGTATCGTCAAAGAGTCCAACTGCTATTCCGTCACCGCAGCCAGCGTTTGCCAGTGGGTACATCGCTGAGATCTTCCAGACCAGTGATAAGTTCCTGATAACTAGACCAGAGTCTGCGCGGCAGAGACCCGCGAGTGCACGGCCGCCTTCCAGCCCCCAGGGCGCCCAACCAGCAACCCATCATCCCAGCAGGGCGTACAAAGTGCGTCCATCGAGTGCTCTGCCAAGCACGTGCACTGCTAAGAAAGACGCAGACGGAATCAAGACTAGAGCTAGTAGCGCGCGGATCTACAAGCCACGTCCACTTGCTGAAAGCTCAGTTGAGTTCTTATTCTCTTCTAATAAGCGGGAGAATTTTCGGATGCCGAGAAGTGACTCTCCACACCAAGACCAGTCAACAGAGAGGAGGGCACTTTCTGAAAGGCCCGAGGAGGAGAATAGCAGGGCATCTCTGAGTTCCTTAGATAATGGAACATCGCCATCTTCCACCGGTGTTGCACCTAATCCCTCCTCACAGCTTACGGGCCAGATTGCACCTTCTCAGGTAGAACCTGACTCACAGAAAGCCGACGATTACCACATCAACCACGTGATGGCTGAGGAAAGACAGAACATGGTGGTATCGTCGTGTTCGTATTACGAGGTCGATGAAATCGACCGGCCTGAAATACCAGCCAAAGATGAATCCGTATCACAAGATTCTAAGTTGTTCTCTCCATACCAAAGCAGTGAACAGTATTCACATGAAGAGACCTCCGTGGCACTGCCGCTGAGTACTCACCACGGATGGACAAACAGTTTGGAATGTGTCTCAATTTTGGACGATGTTCAACGGAACTCTCCAGAGGACTATGAGTCTGATGCGAATGATGCTCCGGACGCACAACGTCCCGATCCCATGTCGGCCATTACAGTAATGTCCACTTTGGACGACCCAAACGCTCGTGCGCGAGGAAGTAACGCGAGCCGCTCGCGAGAGGGTCCCGCGAGTGCGCGACCGCGTCCGCGCACAGCAACTACGCGCAAAGATCTGGAGGCGCACTTTCAAGCGGAAAAACGAGCAGTGCTAGAAGACCTGCGCAGTGACCTGGGCAGAAGGCTAAAACTGCGGAAGAAGAGCGGGATCATGAGCGACGAGGTCTTCCAAAAGCAGATTCGGAGCAGTTTCTGGACTGCGGATATGCTGTACCACCGATGGGGTAATGATATATTGGAAATGTAAGTATAAAAGAGACACAATGAAAAGTTTAAATCATACCGCTGGTGTCATGGCAGATAATGACGTTGTTAGATGAGATTTGAAGGTTTGCATGGTGGAAAGATACTAGGACAAGATAAGTTTGCGGTAGCACCATGTTAATAAATCTCTTTTGTGAGTAAGTGCGACACGTTTTCAGAACCACACATACTCACGAAAGAGATTTATTCACATGGTGCTACCGCAAACTTATCTTGTCTTAATGTGTTGTTAACTTTGCCAACGAGACTTCTTGGGTTATAGCGCTGACTGTGTTTTCAGGTGCATGTAGAAGTTTCCAGTTTCAGGCTGGGAGCACTGTCAGTGGCATCAATATAGCTTAAAGGGGCAGTCCCCCCCCCCCCCCCCCCCCCGCTTACTCGATTGCAACACCCCCACCCCACCCCTACCCCTCGCCTTGTGTCTTACTCCCGGTCAACATTTGGGGAAGACAAAAAGCTTTTATATGTTTAATTCCAGCGTGAATGTCCTTGACAGACACTTAACTATGATACATAATTAATGATTCAGAGAAATGATCTTACACCTCTTAGTCCGTAATCTCCTTGGGCATTAATAGATAAATGATATATATGATTTGAAGGTTTGCATGGTGGAAAGATACTAAGACAAGATAAGTCTGCGGAAGCACCATGTGATTAAATCTCTTTTGTGAGTCTTTGTGGTTCCGGTTCTTTTCAGAACCGCACATACTCACAAAAGGATATTCACATGGCGCTACCGCAAACTTATCTTGTTTATGAATGATTCACTGAGCTCTGAATGTTCTCTCATTGACATTATATAATTCTGGAATCCAGAAAGCCAGACTCATCATTGGTGACAGTTTGAACAAACCTTTGTCTTCACCAGGGCAAGGGGTTTTTTTTTTGGATGGATTTTTAAATTATTGTCTGAAGATATGAAATAAATAATCCATCAGTAAATACAGTGAGGCTCCCAAAATGTCCATTTCAAATTGGCCACAGTTAACACTTCTCTGCATTTTGCTTTCTTCTAAACTCCAGTATATATGCTAACTATACCAAACTACACCAGCTCCTGTATTTCATACATTGTTCTTTGTAACCACACACGCAAAATGTAAAATGGTGTCACAGCTTTTACGTTAACATATGACTGACCGTAGTTAAAACCTCCAATTTTTTTTCCGGACAATATCACAGGTTCTTCACATAACCACACCTAACTCAACAAAACAAATTGTTACGCCACGTCACCGCAAACTTCCAATTATTGCCAACCTCGCCATGCGAGCCTTAGAATCTCAATAATTCTCCAAAATAGGCAATTTCCAGCTGTATTTCTGTATTTTCGAGATGGCATGTTCATTATTACTTGCCAATAATTGATGGTTTGTAACTAATGACCCATCGGCTGTCTAGACAATGTGCTTTTAACGACGTCTTAAAGCCAAGGTCGAAACCGCCAGAGCATATATTGTAGTTTCTTTAATATGCATTAGGCTCTGCAATAAACACGGTGGTTGGCAATTGTCGGCAAATCTAGCGGCCTGGGATAATTGGGAGAGTTTATTAGTACAGAGAGATGAATTGATGAGAGAAAAACGACGCGTTGAACATTATGTTTTAATTGTTCGAGGGTGGCTCGTGAAATGTCGCCGTGTGCTCAAGTCTACAGCCACTAGCGATCATGCATGGAGGTTTGTGCAGAGACGCAGCTACATGAATAAAAAAAAAACCTGTGATCTTAAAATGTTCAGGGACGGTGGAGCACCCAAGGGGTATGGGAAGTCTCTGGGAGCTCGAGTGCCCCGTAGCCAAACCTTAATAAGAAAAAGGACCGAAAACAAGGAAAATACAGTCTGCAAAAACATTATTTGACTAGAAACCAGTTACATTTGACTAGCCATTCAGGGTCAGCTGGGTGCAACTGAAAATCAGTCAATCTGACTAGATGTTGCCAGTCAGTATTGAAAAATAGTTATGCAAATAACTAACATTGGAGTCAAATCCAAACTACTCTTTTTCTAGTCATAGTATGAAACTTTGCATGTTTAACTAAATTCCAGGAAAACCAGTCAACATTTTGACTAAGGTGTTTTTAGAGTGTGGGTAAGGAATAGTCACACAGTATTTACAGTGAAATGGGCACACCTGAAACTGTGTGCTAGCAAAGGGGAAAATGCTGAAATTCGGATCTGAAAAAGAAAAGTGAAAAACGACCAGTGCATAATGAGTAGAACACGTTGTTATGCTCCCTTACTATCTGAAAGCAGATTCGATTGAGTTTTTTTTACAATGCAAGTTTTATTGGAAACTTTCTTGTTGGGGGTGGGGGCGGGGGACTATAATTATTTGGATTTTGTGCTTTATTTAAAGTTGGTTTATATACGTGCCTTTTCAAAATTTCGATTTTCTTTTCCGAACAAATTTTAAAGGTATATTATGTCCTGTAACAAATACATTTTTTTTTTTTTGCAGGCCTTTATACAGTTTTGAAAAGTGGTTTTAAATGGCGCGCTCCAGTTCAGAAATTGCGCACATTATTCAGAACGAATTAGGAGCGTCCCGCTCTTAATTCAAAAGTTGAAATTATTTGATTGATTACTGGTCGTAGGCCGATGTTTTTGTGTGATATCTCATTGGAAAGCTCATATTTAATGTAATGCTAGAAAATTATCAATTTAATTTGAAAATCTATATTTCAAGGTGCCACGCCCAAAAAGCACGCATACACCAACTTTAAATTATTCGAAGCCTGTTTTGTCGTTGCGTGGGTAGCGCCGTTCAAGTGTCTGTCGTGCCACTTGTTATTACGATTGAGGGGGTGATTTTGCAGGAAGATTGTGGTACACCAACCAGAAAACAACTCGATCACTAAAAACAGGGACTTCCGTCACGTAAACGTAAATGCATTCGCCTAAGAAAGGGAACTATGACGTCAGGTCTAAGACTTTTGCGCGCAATGTCTATCCACCAATCAAAGTTTAAACTTGTTTAAACTTTACCGATTCGTTACCGCGAAAGCGTCTGATGACGTCATTTCAGCGTCGCTATCGCACACCTACGCTGACCTTAATAATTCCTTTCCTCCTTTATTGAAAAAAACAGAGTCTATATCGAAAGTCTGGGTGGTTTTTTTTTTTATAGATGATCGCCTTTTTGAGTTGCGTTTTCTAGGCGGGAAATTTAACCTTGGGAATCGGATGTCGTTCATTGTTCGCGTTTCGCGACATCGCGCTCTGTATTTCTAAAAGTTGCTTCTAATATTTCTGTTGGAAATAGATTTTTCATGATATTTTATTCACCAGAATCGATATGTGGTTGCATTCTAGTGCATTTTCTATCTTTTTTTCTCCTGCGGATATTTTCGTAACAGTCGGTACCATATGGGCCGTTTCCACCATTAATTATTGCCAGTCCTTTGTCCACCACCAATCGATATATTTTTGTGGGCTTTTAATCAGAAATTGATACACTCTCTTGGAAGTTGAGATGCAAAAAAAAAAAGTTTTTTTCGCATTTTGTTCCCGTTTATTGTCATATTCCTTAGCCCACCAGCGTATATTTTGGACAGCTTTTAGTTAGAAACTGCCATTTCTTTTGAATTTGAGTGGCAGGAATAAAAAATGTGTTGACACGTAAGAAAGAAACAACCATGATCTTTGAATGATCAAATTGATTTGTTTTGTTTTCAATATTTCAGGCGAAAGAGATGGAAATCGTGCACGGGACGTCTAGAGGATCAGTCAGACCTTGGGGACGAGGAGGGGGCGGGGCCACCCTTCCCGAGAGGGCGGCGTGGCGCGTTCTCTAACGAGCGGACAGAGGAATCCCCGCTGGACTTCGAGGCATTGAGGTAGGTCAGAGGTCAGGGGTCAGGGGCTGACTTAACGGTCAAGAGTTCGAAAGATAATTAGATACCAAAAACGGTGTGGTGAAAATGATCAGAGAGTAAGTAAGTCAAGTCTGTCACGAGCCAATGTGACCCATCAGGCCGGCGTTTATCTCCGGTTTCAGTAGCATGAAACGACTGAGCATATTTCTATTCCTCCTGGATGGGATGCTAGTCCCTCACAAACTCCCAAGCTAATACCGGTACCCATTTATACTCCTGGGTGGAGAGAGGCAAGTGGGGTTGGTGTGGCTTGCTTAAGGACACCACATATGGCCAGCAGCTGGATTCGAACCACTGACCCTCTGATCATGAGTCACAAACCCTAACCACTATGCCACACTCCCCCAAATAATATCAGAGAGAATTGAGTTTAAAAAATATTTTTGTGTCTGCTAAAACTAATTTGTACGAGCTTAAATTCAAACTATCGAATGAAATGAATCAGAATTACAAAATAATTATAATCTAAATTCCTAGATAAAAATTTCATTTTGAATGTAAGTCCAATGTTAATTAAATCCATCCCCTTAATTAAAAAAAAATTATGGTTTTCTTTTTGACAAAAATATTGTCTCTATATAGAGCTTTCAGTTATTTAAATTGGGACTACGTGTGAAAATGACGTATGAGAAGTGCTTTGTTTCTATGAGCCCATGCCAAGTGCTTGTTAATAAACCATATCATCGGCGCGGTTACACGAAAAAGTGTTTCCGTTTATCCGTGCCCGGAAGTGTACACCAGCGGCGCTTGTCGGCAGAGCCGTGGGTGAGAGACGGGCGGCTGTCCCTCGCTCTGCCCGCTGCGCGTGCCCACGCTCGTTAAACCTAATCAATAATCGGACCTGCTCAAAGATTACTTGGAAAGTGTTTATTTCATCTACCTGTTTTTGTATAAATCGGTCTCATTTAACATCTTACTCCCAATTTAGGAAGGAACCCAACAACATCGGGATAATTATCGGGTAATTGATGTATTTCAACAACCTGATTGCACAGATAAATTTAAGAAGTACAACATCACTCGTTTTCTTTGAGGGGAGTTACCGACTTCGGGCTAATAATCGCGCTATTGATTCTGTGAACAGCTTTTATAAAAAATTTAGCGAAAAGCATCTGTCGTTCCTTGTGATGTACCTCTTCATTAAATTGCATCAGCAGACGATTGCATTGCAAATTTACATATTCTTATGAGAAAGATTTCTTATGACGTCAGAAACGTCTGAGTAGGAGGACTGGTAAAGATCCTTGAAAGTATAACACCAGGTTCAGTTTTGGAAATAATAGTTCACAGCGATGTGAAACTGCAACATATTGGAAGTTGTTACTAGTGAAGTTGATGTTTTGTTGGTTTTATCAATGTAAAGATAGTCACCGTGCGGGAAGTGTTCATTTTAAAGCAGTTGCTGCGTTTTGCTTTCCTCAATGAAGGTTTGTAACTGCAAAATGAGACTGAACCTTTTGGTAATGATGATGTCTGTATCTGGAGCAAAGTATTAACGCCTTACGGTTAATCTCTCGGCGCGTCCCATTTCGGTTATAGAGTCGAAACTTGCAGCGGAGTCTGCACCGATCCGCCCTTGGGGTATTGCAGGGTCGTCGCAGTCGTAAGGATGGGAGTAAAACAAAGACGATAAGCATCAAGTTACTCGACAGGATCAGTGAAAGTCGAGACTGAGCCGACTTGAAAGGCAGCTTAAAAGTACAGCGTTCCTGGAAAGAAACGCGTTTAAACGGTTATTGAGTAATGGGTATGGTCACAGGTATTCGCAGCAGCTAGCACCTTAACAATGGTTACCCGTGCTGGAATTCAAACTTACGTGCACTTAACATTTAAATTTTAAACACTTTAAAACATAAGTACGGTGCTCTATAGGTGCCATCCATGATGTTGAGATCCTGACATAATTTATCACAGGATGAGAATATCTTACACGTAAAATGTCGACATCCTGAGATAATTTATCACGGGATGACGACGTGCTTTAAGAGGGATGTCGGCATCCTCGGATACTTTATCACGGATGGCACAGTGCTGAAAGTAGGATCCCGACATCGTGAGATAATAAATCACGGGATGTCGACATCCCTCACATGTCGACATCCTAATCTCATGATGTCATGTTGATATCTTAAGTGTAAGATGTCGTCATCCCGTGAAAAGTTATCTCTGCATCTCATCATCTTAGATGGCACCTCCAGAGCCCCATATTTAATTGTTTAAAACTTAAACACGAAGTTTAGTCATTCTAAACAGAATCATTCGCGAGGCGTTTACACATTTATGTTGAAGGCTTTATTTTCGTACATGGATATCTGCTTCATGAATCCGACTCAAAATGGAGCCTCGGCCTTTTACTGCGTCTCTCCCCTAAAACGCGTTACAATGTTTAAAACGCTTCTAATGTGTTCAAAAGTTAAACCTAGGCTTTACAATGTATACATTTTGGTTTCTCTGAGGATCTACGCCCTTGGTATCAAAAGGAGTTACCTCCCGTTTTGCTTGTTGATTTCCGATAGAATATAATTGTTTCAAACTTATAAAATTATGTATTATTTCTTTTATAATTACGGCCTCCCATAGTTTACCAACAATCGCTGGGCACAAACAAAGGAAGTGATGTATGGAAGAGAAAAACGACCATACCGCAAAATAATCTAAGCCGGAAAAAAAATATCTTTCAAGTTCAGGCTACTGGAAATGTCACCATCGTAAGTACTTTCATATTGTCAGTGATGTTAGTGTGATCGAACACCTCGCCGAGAGGTCGCTTTTAATGCATTAACACTCAGACACAAAAGGTGTTGGGTTATCTCCCAATGCAAAATTGTAGAAACAAGATGGCGGCTTGAGTTTCCGGGTCCTTTGGGGGCCAATCAGTGACGCCAGAACAAAGTAGACGTACAGCGGGGGAAAAAAAGAATCCGGTCAACACCGTACCAACAAATACAGGCATTCGGTGTTATTTCCTTCTTTGAATTTATTTCCCAGGGGCGTAGCGGTCAAGCACGCAAGCTGTGAGGATTAACCCCGAAAGGGAGCCACTGCAACAGAAATAAAAACGGGTTTCAATTCACGTCCGCAGGGGCCCGGAGCGAGATCGTTTCATTTGAAGGAGATTTCGTCATCGTAAGGGCGCGGGCGACACGAACACTCTGCGTCACATTTTAAAGAGGTTTTCTGGCAAGCGTCAACTCTGTTCATTCGAACAACAAATCTGTTGTTGTTGTTTTTCTTTTGAGTTGCCATGATTTAGAGGTGGCGGCTAGTGGTCATCGGTTTGGTATGGGGATTTGGATCGAAATCGAGGTCGCATGTGCAAACTAAAAACTCTTTGGCGTACACCCAGCACGATATGTGACAGAGGGGTCCCCAATCTCCCTATACCCTGTACACATTATTGTTACCTAACACATCCCCCTAGATATCTCAAAAGAATGCCTGAGATTCTGGTAAAACAGTGACCAACACAAAAGAGGGGTGGGGGTCCTTCTGTCACATCGTGCTACATATGCTTTGGCATTGATACTCTGTAGGTTTATAAGCTATTACGTAAGAATCATGCCATCAGATGACTGAGGCCTGTATGTAGACTGTCTTTGAAATCAACCGTGTGAAAGATCCATATTAGCCCAAATTGGGGCGTGTCCCCCCCCCCGAATGGATTAGCTGCGCATCCTTGTTCTTACTTAATCAGTCGTTGAAGACATCAAAATTAATACCTAAACATCAGCCTAACAAAAAAATCGATGCTTTTCGATATACAAACAGACTTAATATGCACCGCGGCTCGCGTCACACGATATGATGTTTCTAGGTAGCATTAATGAAATTACTCGCATTATTTTGACAAAGCTCGATGACCGAATGTGACGTCGCGATAATATTTAGAAATCAAAGGATGAGAAATCAGCACCTTTTTTTCGTCTTTAAGGGTGTTTTGAGTCACTGGGTTTTTTTCGTCGGAGGGCACGTCTGTAACTGCTCATTCTGCAAGGTGAGATTCTCCATTCAAGACATGACGCTTCCTGCTGGCGTTTCGTGGAGGTGCGTCTAGATGAAAGACAGTATATTGACAATCTCGTATTCCTGTTGGCACGTGACTCTGCATGTTCCACGGACACACTTAAGACTTTCTCTTCTTTTTACGCACTTCTGAATATTTAATTATTTATTTATTCAATTCAGAAGGGGTTTTTGCCTTCGAATTGTCATTTTCTCAGATGCCGGGCAAAAAAATAAGCTCACTAAGTGAAATACTAGGCTTATTCAACTCGACTTTCCGATTTCTTTCCGAAATAAAAATGTTTTTTTTTATCATCAATTTTTTTTTTATTATAAAAATGGTTTTTGTAATCATATGGATAAAAGTTACTTAATTCTCTGAAGATTTCGCTCTTTTCAATTTGTTTTCTTGTCGGAATAAAAACGATTTTTTTTTTCACCATATTAATAATAGTTCCTTCATTCTCTACAGTTTTTGCTCTTTTCATTATTTTTACTCTTCTTTTTTACACGTTACACTTTCACTATTGCACTGAGCTATTTATATTCCTATAGTACGACTGGCAATAGATTTTACGACATTAATGAAACGTCTGTTAAGTTAGAATTACAAATTGCAAACTTCCTCACTACATAACTAGAGACAAAAGATGTATATTTTGCAACCAAATTCCCCTTTAGAAAACAACAATCTTAAAGTTAAGTTGGTTGATTCCGAATGTTGGTTTGTTGTTTGGATCCGTTCCAATCATCACTCGGCCCGTAAACTAATAATCGACCCAATAAGCTCCGTTCTTGAATGGATATATTTACATCTTAGCTCTTTTCTTAGAAACAATCCTGGGGCGATACGTCAACAAAACAACGACGGTTAAAAACTCCAAGCCAACCCCTCTCGATCGGGTGTCGAGTGCTCGCCAGGCCGTCTGCAAGCCGCGCTAACCCCGCGATCATGACGC